GTGTGTGTGTGTGTGTGTGTGTGTGTGTGTGTGTGTGTGTATGTGTGTGTGTGTGTGTGTGTGTGTGTGTGTGTGTGTGTGTGTGTGTGTGTGTGTGTGTGTGTGGTGTGTGTGTCCGCGCCCGCGCGCGCGTGTGTGTACAGATAAGTACCAAATCTCCTGAAAACTATCCATATACGCTTCTCGACAACACTGAAACCAATCATAAAAATACTTAAAAAAGAAATAGGAGAGAAGAAGCATCCCGCCAACACCGCCATTCAATCTTTTTGTAACCTGATTCGACTTTCATTCTCACTCTCTAACTCTCTCCTAGTCTGTCAATTTATCAATCTTTCTATCTTTTGCGGCTTCGTCTTTCTCCTTTTTCATAAACCTTTCGCTGAGAACCACAAATAGCTGAAGAATTTCTTAACACTTTCTTTGATTCTAATTTTATTCATTATTCTATCCAACAATAAAATTGATGGGGGTCTTTTCAATTATTTTTTCTGTTTTATCTTTACGTTTTACAGTTTTTATTTATGTATCTATTTATCTATTCATTTGTTTATCTCTCTATTTATTCATTAATCTATCAAGCAGGATTAACTGAAAAGGATAAATATGTTTTTGTCCACATACATACTCGTATATCCATACCCATAAGACCATGTGTAAAGCGTATATCTATCATGAAAACATGCTCAAGGAGATGCTTGCACCACACTTTTTTCTCACTATTCAGTTGTTGCAATACAAAAATGATTTGCAAATGAATATATCAGTAAGAATATGAATATAAAAATGAAAATAGCCACAATGAGAATTGAAAATAATTTTTACTGTAGCTATTTTCATTTTCATTTTTGTGTACACGTAACTGTGTTTGCTCTTGTTCTTATGAATATGAATAAATGAAAAGATAATAAAATAAAAAATGAAATAAAAAAGTTTGATTCTACGACACAATGTTGTTTTACTCCTTCTACGAACAATATAACAGTTTCACGAGTATCTAACAAGCATTCACAAACACCCTAATCTCCCTATAATTCAGACACGACCATTCAAAAAAGAAACAGTAACGTCCCGCCATAGAACACTTGTTAAACGGAATCCAGCAAGTCTGTTCATGAGCCCAGTGGCCATTTCTTCTAAGATGAAGCCTTTAGGAGGTCACTTGACCACTGAGTCTCAAGCGCGTGAGAACTGGACTGGATCGTGTTACCTTTCTTCACGGATTGCGATTAAGCGGTTTTTGTCTCTGCTAGCGATGCGTTTTTGTTTTGTTTTTTCTTTTGTTTACGTGTTGCGATATTTTGTCGTCTATGATTCTTTACTTTCTTGTCCTTATAACACCGATGTTTTTATTGTGTTGTGCTTAGGTATGGTAATAAATGTTGTACGTTTTGCGTACTGTAGTAATTTAGATTCTGGTGGATAGCTTCGGAGTAAGTACGGTGTGTTTTCATTCATGCCCAACGTTATATTATATGATGATTTATATTCTAGGATGGTTAATTAGAGTAGAATACATGATTGTTATTATCGTGATTTTTACTATCATTACTATCATTGTTATCAATGCCATTGTTATCATTATCATTGTTAATTATAATCGTTGATATTATCATCATTGTTTTTATTATCGTTATTATTATTATTATTATTATTATTATTATTATTATTATTATTATTATTATTATTATTATTATTATTATTATTATTATTATTATTATTATTATTATTATTATTATTATTATTATTATTATTATTATTATTATTATTATTATTATTATTATTATTATTATTATTATTATTATTATATTATTATATTATCATCATTATTACTATTGTTATTATTATCACTATCATTATCATTATTATCATCATTATCATTATTATTATCATTACCATTATCATTCTCTATTGTCATTATCATAAGTATCATTATTGTTATCATTGATATTATCATTATCATTATTACTATCACTATTATCGTCATATTATCATCATCATTATTATAAGTATTAATGATAATGATAATACCAAAGATGATATCATCATTATTATTATATTATTAATAATAATGATAATAACAAAGATGATATTATTATTATCATCAATATTATCATTATCATTATTATTAATATGATTATCATTATTATTGTTATTATTATTGTTACTATTATTGCTATTGTTATTATCATTATCATTATTATTATTATTATCATTATTATTACTATCATCATTATTATTATTATTATTGTTATTATCATTAGCATCATTATCATTTCCAATATTGTCATCATTGTAATTATCATTGTTGTTATCATTGTTCTTCTTTTTCTTCTTCTTCTTATTATTATCATTATCATTATCAATATAATCATTATCATTATCAAAATAATCATTATCATTATCAACATAATCATTATTATTGTCATTATTATTTTGTTATTATCACTGTTATCATTATTATTATCATTATCGCTATTGTGATCATCATTAACATTGTTATTATCATTATCAATAATTTCGTCTTTATTATTGTTATTTTCATCATTACATCATCATCATCATTATCATTATCATTTATATTATCACTATCATTATCTTTAATGTTTTTGTTATCCTTGTTGTTATTATTAACATTATTATTATTATCACTTCTATTATCATCATTGCTATTATTATTATTATTATTATTATCATTATTATTATCTTTATTATCATAACTAACATCATCATTATTAACACTATTTATATTCTTCTTATCATCATTACTATCATTATTGTTATCATTATCATTATTATCATAATTATCCTTATCATTATTACTAACATTATCACTGACAATGCCATTATCATTATTATTGTTGTTATCATTATCATTGGCAATATCAATATCATCATGACTGTTATTACTTCAATCTTACGATATTACGATTACTATTATCATGATTTTCATTGCAGTTATTTTCCTTGTTATCTCATTAGTCAGCAGTTACAATATTGCGATTATCATTATCTTTAAATATTCATTTCTTCATCATCACCATTGATTTTTTATAAGTGATATCCATCCATGGAATTCATGTTTTTCCTTATTACTTCCGTTTATTTTTTATTAATTTTTTACCTTTCTCCTTTCCTTTATGTTCTATTTTTTATTTTTTTTTTTTTTTTATTACCCTTCCACCCACTTCTATTTCGTCCTTCTTTACTCGTTTGTTGGTCACGATTGTACTCCCCCACCCACCCCACCCCCACCCCCCCCCTGCTAATTGTGTGAGGGAATCAGAGCATTGGCAACTCTATTTTCTTCCCGTTTTCTTTCACAGTCTTTTGTTTAGTCTTGTTTTTCTGCGATGTCTTTTACTTTTTTTTTTTTTTTTTTTTTTTTTTTTTTTTTTGAATACTGTGCCTTTTACCTTAAATTCTATTTCACTCGCTTTTGATGTTGAGATGCTAATTTTTCGCTTTCAATGTTTTTTTTTCCTCTTTTTAATCTCGTTCTTTTTCTTTCCATCTATCTGCTTGTTCATTTTTATTCTTTCTCTCTGATTCTTTCTCTCTCCATCTCTTTCCCTCTCTCTAAATTTAATTACAGTTTTCCAAGATTAAAATCCTTTGGTCATTTGGACTTTTTGTCTGAAACGAAACGAATAATTTCCGAGTACACAAAATTTCTAATCTCGGGTCCATGATGATTTTTTACCGTTAATAAAAAAAAGTTAAAAAGAAAGTGATTTTTGTACGATACTTAAGGTGATAGAAGAATCACTGAAGGAATGTGTCATCGATCAATAGATACGTCCAATTAGTGCCACTTTCCGGGTGCCAGCAGAGAGAGAGAGAGAGAGAGAGAGAGAGAGAGAGAGAGAGAGAGAGAGAGAGAGAGAGAGAGAGAGAGAGAGAGAGAGAGAGAGAGAGAGACGTATCAGATTCTTGCGGGGAAATTCACTCGTTATCCGTTATGTCTATCAAGTACATTTTTACGATGGTTATATCCTTTTTGTGAAGGAGTACGCTGGGAAATTGTTCAGGAGGTCTTGTTATGTCTGAAAATTGTGGAAATGGGTTGTTGACAAGCTCGTTGGTTTTCCCTTGAAGTACGGTGACGGTTAGTTGTTGGGTTGTCGGTTTGTGTAAAGGAAATTAATAGAAACAGATTGTTGGTAAGGTTGTTGGGTTGTCGGTTTCCCTTAAATATAGAGGTTGTTGGTGCGGTCTGTAATAATGATGAATGAAAACTCCATATGAAAGGTTCATTGCGATTTTCTCCTCCGTGGCGTAGAATAGGAAGTATTTTTATAGAATTGGAAGTACATTAATTGTCATATCTCTATCCACGCATCAGTTACACATACTGCCGGTTTGTTAGAATTGTGCGAGGCCCGACCCAAAGAATATTCGTATAGTTAACATGCATAGATAAAAATAGATGAATATTCATCAGGCTAGACATGCATATCAACCGGGCAAATAGAGAGATGTTTATTTATCAGATATATGGACAGATATGCTTTTATTTCTGCGTCTGTATTTACGAAAATTCATTGGGTCGGGCCTGGCACAATTTTAACAAACCGGCCGTATCTCATTACTCTAAGGAGCTTTGGATAAAAAAAAGCACTATCATATACAGTAAGCTTTAAGGTAGTCTCCTATAAAGCTTATTATACGAATTATCGAAAGGATATGAAATAGAATGAATAATTCCACATACGTCGACGGCTGAAAATGAATACTAACCCGCTAACGTCAACATGGAATTTAAACTCGGGGCGGAAAGGAACTGGCCACCTAACGCTCTCCGTCCACTTAGATATGGGACCAACTTTGAATCTGAAAGGAACACATTACTTTTTCACCGGCGGCACGTATTCCAGATGATGTAATATCGAAATGCTACCTATACATCGTGCATAGTGGCGACATCTATTCCCAGTCATACCCTTCGTGTGTCTATAAGCCTACATTTCTCCCCTAACCTACCCGCCTTCCCTCCACAGAATGCGGTGTCAGTCGCTTCAACAAACACAGACAACCACGGCCCTTGAACCAAGACGCCACGGCCTACGGTGACAGCGGAGGAGACGACGACTACAACAACTACGACAACAACGACAGCTTCACGCAGCAGCGACTTCGGACGAATAACAGAATGATGGTTTTCGAAGACACGTCGACTGGCCGCATCGTTGGGGGCAAGGAGAGTATACCCGGAGCATGGCCCTGGCAGGTAAGGATTTTTTATTGTATTTATTTCATTTTTATTTTTATTTTTTATTATTATTTATTATTATTATTATTATTTTTTTTTTTTTTTGGGGGGGTCGTATTCTTAAGTGTGTGTGTACTTACTTTGTTTTAATGTGGGTATGTCCAAGTATGTGTTTGTGCTTATGTGGGTATGTTCAAGTATGTATCTGCTTTTGTGGGTATGTTCAAGTGTGTTTGTGCTTATGTGGGTATGTCCAAGTATGTGTCTGTGCTTATGTGGGTATGTTCAAGTGTGATGTGGGTATGTCCAAGTGTGTTTCTGTGCTTATGTGCCATTTGTGCTTAATGTGTGGGTTTGTGCTTCTGTGGGTATGTCCACGTGTGGGTTTGTGTTCATGTGGGTATGTCCAAGTGTGTGTTTGTGCTTATGTGCATATGCTTAAGGTTGTGTATGAGCTTATGCGCCTATGTGTGTATGCGTGTGTGCGTGTGTGTGTGTGTGTGTGTGTGTGTGTGTGTGTGTGTGTGTGTGTGTGTGTGTGTGTGTGTGTGTGTGTGTGTGTGTGTGTGTGAGTGTGAGTGTGTGTGTGTGTGTAAGCATTCAAGTGCTTCACAGCTAAGTAGAGAGGTAGCTAAGTGGGTAAGTAGGTAGGTAGGTAAGTAGAGAGAGTGAGATGGATATAATGTAGATAGCTAACTGACTAGACAGATAACTATAAATACACAAGGAAGAGAGATAGATAGATAGATTAATAGATAGATAGAGAGGTTGACAGAGGGGGGGGCGTTGGGAGAAGAGAGAGAGAGAGAGAGAGAGAGAGAGAGAGAGAGAGAGAGAGAGAGAGAGAGAGAGAGAGAGAGAGAGAGAGAGAGAGAGAGAGAGAAAGACAAAGAAAAGAGACAAAGACAAAGATAGACAGAAACAGAGAGACAGAGAGACAGCCATCAGTACGAGAGACAGAAAACGAAGACATCGAACCACATCCACACTCCAATTCCCCCTGCGTGCACGGGACAGACGTCTCACCCAGCCTGCTCCTCCCCCAGGTATCCCTCCAGCTGATACATCCACGCTGGGGTCGCATCGGCCATTGGTGCGGCGGGGTCCTCGTCGACGAGCGATGGGTAGTCACTGCCGCCCACTGTATCAACAAGTAGGTTCCGATCAACTTTGGGATTCAATCTGAGGACAAAAAATGATTAGATTTGATTTTCTCTTCAATCTGTGGGGAAAAAATTATTATATTTTTAGATTTTCTCTTCGGATAGAGATGCTTGTAATGACTAATGTTAATGATAATTTGATAAATTTGGAATTCAGTGTGAGGAAAATGAATTATTATTTTTGAAGATTTCCTCTTCGGATAGAAATAGTTGTATGAATAATGTTACTGATAATTTGATAATTTTTTAATTATTGATTTTTTTTTCTTTGTTGTCATAAAAAAATGTCACTTAAAATTCTGTGTAGCTTCTGGAATATATATAAGTATTCTGAAAAATACTGCATGATATATAAATATTTTTAAATGTGCATCAAGTAGTCGAAAAAATATCATAACGGCATTCTCAGACAAATTTCGTAACAATATATACATATATATGTATATATATACACACACATAAACTCACTTAGGGATTCGGACTTAGCTACGACCTCAATTTATCCGTCAAGATATACTGCATTAATTGCATGATCTTGCAAAGTACGCGAATGATTCTCCTCGCTTTCGCTTCCTCAAGCCATTTCTCATGACAGGTCCAATGGCTTCTGCATTAGCAAGAAGTGTGTGATTTGTGGGAGAATTAATTGAAAGCTTTTCACATTTTTTTGTTTAATAACTAAAGTATTATGGGAATTTTTGTCTATCTATCTATTCATATTTTGTCTGAGGTTATATTAATGACTACAATACGAAAGGAAGTATGGCCGGAGATATGGGATTTTTATCTACCGTATTTCAGACTTTGTGCCGTCTTCAGTTAGTGGGGAAAATCCCGGATTTATTATTATTTTCATTATCATAATTTTTTTTATTCTTTATTTATTTATTCATTTTTTTTTTACTTATTTTGCCTCCATCTTAAAGTTTCCTATCAGATTTCCACAATTTTCAGCACTGATATCTTTATGATTGTTTTCCTTTCCAACATATGATAATAATCGCAGTTGTTATGATTATTACCGTTGTTAATATCATCATCAACTTCATTATCATTATTCTCGCTTAACGTTAATATCATCGTTATAATTTTTCACTACCAATATTATCATAAATATTCTTATCGTTAACTGCACTGCTATCACTACTAATTATCACCATCATTCATTCTGTTATCTCTAATTACCATCCCTATCATCACTCTCACAATGAGTATTAGTATTTCTACTATTACTGATACCATAACTATTAGCATCATGTTGCAAAGAATAGTCTGTAGAACTACGAGGTGTCCAAACAACCCTCTACGTTCTGTGGAGTAGTTAGCACAGAATTCCCCCACCCTCGGGATAGGTGGGTGTCTGTAGCTCTAACACAGTCGGTAACCTGCTTACACACATACGTTCTCGAGTTGTTGGTCTGTTAGTCTTTTTTTTTCTTTTTTTTTTTTTTTTTTTTTTTTACTTTGTGTCTCCCTTATTTACTTTTTTTTTTTTTTTCTCTCTCTTTCTTTCTCTCTCTCTCTCTCTCTCTCTCTCTCTCTCTCTCTCTCTCTCTCTCTCTCTCTCTCTCTCTCTCTCTCTCTCTCTCTCTCTCTCTCTCTCTCTCTCTCTCTCTCTCTCTCCTCCTCTCTCTCTCTCTCTCTCCTCTCTCCCTCCCTCCCTCCCTCCCTCTTTTCCTTCTCTTCCCCCCCTCCTTCCTCTGATCCTTTCTTCCCCCTTCCTCAAGACCCTCTCCTTCCTCCTTTCCTTCCTCCCTCCTTCCTCCCTTCCCTCCCTCCTCTCTCCTCTTCCCCTTCCCTCCCTTCCCCCTCCTCCTTCCTCATCACTCCCCTCCCCCCCCCTTCCTTCTCTCCTTTCCTCACTCCTCTCCCTTCATCCTCTTTCTCTCTCCCTTCCTTCTCCTTGTCCCCCTCCCTTCCTCTCTCCCTCTTCCTTCCTCTCATCCTCCATCCCTCCCTCCTTCCCCACATCCCCTCCTCTTCTTCACGCCCTCCTTCCCTCCTTCTCCCCCCCCCCCCTTTCCCTCCTTCAGACCAGAACGCTACCCATCCTTCCGCTAAACTCTCTCCTAATGTGTTGTGTCATCACATTTGTCATCACTCAGCGCCACACCATCCCACCAGGACGCTGCGTTTCTTTTTCTGCTCTCTTGTCACTTTTTTTAAATCTATTTGTCTGCTTATTGTTTACGTCCTCCCCCCTCCCTCTCTCTCTCTCTCTCTCTTTCCCCACCCTCTACTCTCTCTCTTTTGACTCAATGAGTACGCATCTTTGACGAGGTTTGTTTTTGTTTTCCATGTTGTACACTTTGTTTTTTTCTCTCTCTCTTTATTTTCATTTAATCTTTTTCGTTTAGTTTGTTCATCCGTAAATCACACCATATCTTCCATCATTCTCTCCTATATATCCACTCTTCGTTATTCTTTTTTCTTCTTATCCTTTCCTATCATCACGTGTAATGGACTGCTTAATAATATTGATAGTAAGATTAATAAACTGATTTGAAATCACACCAGTGCAAGCGGGGCAGTTCTCTTAACTTCAGTGAGTTTTGATAGATTACTGTATCATCTCTATTCATACAGTTAGAAAGTAAAAACTTTATTACTCGGTATCTTTATTTAGCAGATCTACGGTTAAGACATATTGCCCATACGTTTATCTCCGAAATAAATCTGAAAATGGCATCAATATATTTTTTTCTTTTTTCATTTTACAACATTCACTTTTATGTATATACGTATACTACGAAAGCAAGAACGATAACGCATGCACAACACTTATGGCTGGTTGCATTCATGTCCTTTCAAAGTGATTGTTTATTTCAATGCTTAATTTACTTTCTTGCAAAATAAGGATGGCCATGCATGGTTTCTGCAGCAATACTGGTTCCTTTTATCTGTTTGCATTGTGCCTGGATATTCTTTGGGTGCCATATGACAAGAAAATGAATTCGACGCACTTTGCTTGCCTGATTGATGAATTTAACGAGTCCCTAATGATGCTATTAGCAGTGAGAACGACAATTAACGCCACACACCCCTTTAGTCTACCAACGTCGACATATTCACCAAGAGCGTATACCTGTCAAGCTTTCCCGTGGCATGGCGGCATACCCCGTCCCTTCCTTTCTCTTTGCCTTCAAAATGAGTTGTTGCCTCCCTCCCTTCGGGTTTCTTTGACGGCCCTGTCGGGTGTTCGCAGCCAGGCGTTCTCGCTGCCCTTCGCCCCCCTCTGGTCGGTGGTGGTGGGGGAGTGGGACCGGGAGGAGGAGGGGGCTAGGGAGGTCCGAAAGGTGGAGCGAGTTGTGGTCCACGAGCGCTTCAAGGACTATAAGCATGATATAGGTGAGTTAGGGATATAAAGTATATAGGTATATAGATATATAAATTATTTCCAATTGTCTTGTGGCTTTCATTATTTCACTTTTTAAAGCTTAGGATAGAATGTGATTTTGCTTTTTGCTTTGCTTGTGTTTTGTGGGGGTTTTCTTTGAGTCTGCTCATCTGCTTCAGCTTAACATATCCGTTAATCTGTTTATTATATATATTTTAATATCTTAGAAAAGCGTTTTTCGCTCTCTACCACAAAGAAGTTACTTTACCACAAATAATGAAAACGATGATAAATAAATAATAATGATAGTAAGATTAACTGAAATCACACTAGTGCAAGCGGGGTAGTTCTCATAACGTCAGTGAGTTTTAATAGATTACTGTATAATCTCTATTCAATGATCTCCAATTTCTATGGACCTTTTCGCTCTCTCGTATGCATTTCGACTGACGAATCTTTCTGGATGAACCCAATGACAACTTAACGACGTTTACGAGAACGACACTGACGTACTAACAATTTCCGTTCATGGACTTTAACTTGGAATTAAGAGTCTTCGCTCTTATTCTTAGTCGGGAATCAAATAATATTGAACCGATTTCGATTACCGGAACATTCCTGTTTTGTTACGATGGGTTTAGTGGGTTATGCGAAAGGAAATAACAAAAAGGAAAGCCAATTTGATACTGTAAGTGCTATGACGTGACCTGGTCAACGATTTGCCAAAACCTTTTATAGGAAAATAACGATCGGTTCACCTAATCGTTAGGATATAGTTTTTGAAACAGGATTCACCGAATAACTCGACCACAAAGGATTGCTCTTTCGTAAGCGGGTTGACGAAACGGACAGACCCCGACAATTGGACGCCCCTAAAAGCAGCTTCCAGCCCAGCATCTTCACGGGAGGAGTGCAGTGGGCAAGGAGTCGACCCGGAGGGAGGGATCGATGATATAAAAGAGTTTCCTTGCAGCAAGGCCTTCAGCTTCACCCAGACTGCCGCCGTGTGGCAGGTTGTCCTTGGGGAAAACGACCGCTCCGAACTCAGCGGCCACGAGTCCGTGCTCGGGGTCGTCACCGTGGTGACTCACGACGACTTCAATGACTACCAGAACGACATTGGTAAGCCTTCGACCGTGGCTGTCTCTTTGGCCCCTTCGCTTTCTTCCTTTCCTTCCCCCCTTCCTGTCTCTTTGATTTGTTATTTTCTCAGACGCTAACGCACATGCAAGCTCTCACAAGGTCTTGCGATGACTGACCTGTGCGCTCGCGTGGGCTCCATGTGTCCATGTTGTAGCTCTTACTAAGGGGTCCGGGAGGGACTTAAGGACGCCGGGGACGACAGACAGTGACATTAGCTCCTTCCTTGACTCCTTCGTCCTCCTTCTATAAGTCTTGAGGTGCGACCCGTGGTTGTGTGGATGATCTAATAACAGATTGTGTCTCTTCCCTTGACCCCCTCCCGTACACTTCCTTCCCCACCTTCCCCTCACCCTCACCTCCACCAGCGATGCTCAAGCTGCAGCCGTTGTCGAAAATGGCCTCGCCCTCACTCACGCCCATCTGCCTCCCGGACACCGTCCCGCTGCGCACCTTTTCCTTCGAGGGCATGGCCTGCTACGCCACGGGCTGGGGGCGCGGCGAGGCGGCGGGAGCAGGGCCGCTGCGCGCGCGCCTCCAGGAGACCAAGGTGCCCGTCCTGCCCACGCAAGTCTGCGCAGAGAAATATAACTCCGCTCAGTACGGCTTCGCCAAGATCTCGGACGCCCACCTGTGCGCGGGCGTGCTGGACGGATCGACGGGAACCTGCGTCGTAAGTATCTGGACGAGCAAAGGGCTGAGGGCGACGCGGCGACTTGATGACGCTGGTGGTGGCGCTGGTGGCGGGCACGCGCGCACACAACTCTTTCTTTCACTCTTAAGCACCTGTACTTGAACTATCCTCTCTGTGTGTATGAGCGCGTGTGTCTGAGTGTGGACGAAACACCTCGGCTCTGCAGTCTGGTCGCTGCCCAAGCGTGACAGAGTCGAAGGTGACCGGATGACGAAGGAGGCAGCGTCAGGAGGAAGGGTACGGGGTGGGCGAGGTCAGATTAAAAGGCCTTGGGGGTGGGGTTGGGCTAAAGGTCACACTATTGGCAGTGGGACACCGGCCCTCAGGTAGGCTGTAGGTGGAGGGAGCCTCTGGTGAAGGAAGGCTTTAGAGGAGGGAGGCCTCAGTCCGGCAGGAGGCAAGGCAGCGGGCTGACGTGCCGTGTGTTGCAGCCATGCTGAAGCTGAGGGAGGACGCGGTGTTCAGCGACTACGTGCAGCCCATCTGCCTCCCGGACGTCGACGCAGGGCTGGACAACGAGACCTTCCTAGGCATCAAGTGCGTGGCGACGGGCTGGGGCATGCGAGTCCACGGGGCGCGCCTTGAGAACCGCCTGAAGGAGGTGTGGGTGCCCGTGGTCAACAACAGCCACTGTTTCAAGATCTACGGCATGATGCACAGCATCGACGTCAAGGACTACCACGTCTGCGCTGGCTTCACCCACAGCAGCGGCGGCCAGGGAACGTGCGTCGTGAGTACCCTTCGCTGCGTCGGCTCAGGCCCGCGTTCAGGCTCAGGCGAGTGTAGTTGGCTGCTTCAGTCTGCTGGACGTTTGTGCGTGTGTGTGTGTGTGTGTAGAATATGTGTGTTTGTCTATATTTATGTAAATAAGTTGCTATTAAGACCGTGTGTATGTATATTTGTTGCGCTATAACCGATGGAGCTTCTGCTTTGCTTCAGTAACTTGCATGCCGCTCTGTACAACAGATGAATAAATCATCACTGTATTGTATGTATCCCTAATATATGCCAGTTGGCTAAACCTTTTGACACTGCATGACAAGTAAATAAGAGTAACAGAAAGATACCCTTGACAAAGCCGAAGGATGCAAGGGTGATACAACCTTTCCAGACGTAGGTAAACTTCTGTCTGAAGTGACGAAGTTCTGACGATTCATTGGTGGTCTAGCTATAAAAGAATTCAATAAAATCACTTTAACATAATATATATATATATATATATATATATATATATATATATATATATATATATATGTATGTATGTATGTATAATATATATACTTATTTCTTTGTATATGCACACACACACGCACGCACGCACGCACGCACACACGCACACGCACACACACACACACACACACACACACACACACACACACACACACACACACACACACACACACACACACACACACACACACACACACATACACACAAACTCACACACACACAGAAGACATGCAGTATGTGTACCCGTTGCCCGCGCCCTTGTGTCTTTCACAAGCTGCCCCCCCCCCCCGCCGCCGGTTTCCTTCCCTGACCACTCCCCCCTCTCCCCCAGGGCGACTCCGGGGGGCCTCTGCAGTGCAACATGCGCGACGGCCGCTGGTACCTCGCCGGCGTCACCTCCTTCGGGTCCGGGTGCGCCAAGCCGGGCTTCCCCGACGTCTACACGAGGATCACGTATTACCTGCCGTGGATCAAGCAGCAGATGAGGATCTACAGATGATCGCGGAAGGAAGGGATGTGAAGGAGGACGGCGTCGAAGAGCGGGATGGAGGGTTCCGCGGCAGGCGATCGAAGGCCCCCTCGTGCGGTAGCTGAGGAACCGATGCGTCCAGGTCGTCTGCCAGGTCGTTTGGCAAGGCGTCTGCTAGCCTTATTGCCAGGTCGTCTACTAGGTCATCTGATAGGACCAGGTCACTGCCATCGATTTCCAGGTCAGCTGCCAGGATGGTTCTGGTCAGCTGCCGGGTCGTTTATCAGGTCAGCTGCCGGGTCGTTAACCAGGTCAGCTGCCAGGTTGATTACCAGGTCGACTGATACCTGGTTGGCGCGGGATGTCAAGCGCACCCGAGTGATAAACGGGTGTGATCAGAAGGGGGTAATCAGATCACCCGAACCATGATACACAATCACGCCCAAACCACAACGATCAGCAGTTAATCAGAGAAAAAAAAAAATGAGCGGACTTTCCCTCCGTCGATCTCAATTCCGGATTCTGTGATTGTTACAGTGAGCAATATTGTGATTTTCTCCCTCCCTTCTGTTGATATCCCCCAAAAACAAACAAGTGTGTGATTTCACCGTACACGAGGGGAAAATAATTCATACAAGTATGATCAACAGAAATGGAAAAGGAAGTGAAAGATATATTGCATCACTGAAATGCCAAAAAACATAATAGAAGATAGACTGAGCAGTTTATGAATGTTCACAAGACAATATACAAGAACGACATATGAAAATATAGTTTTGTGTAGCCTATACGTTGTTATAAAGAAACTCCAAATGGATATAAACAAGACCATTATCTAAACATCACAGCTAGTCAAGATATGACAGGTAGTAGAGATGTGAAGGACAATTAACATGATAACGTGATAAATTCATATCAGTTAGAAAAGACAAAATCTCTACACAGTCTCGTTCTTTGTTAATCTCCATAGATATACTATACCAATAGATATTTTATTTTCTTATTCTATAATGTTAATAAATCACCTTATGTCAACTGTGTGTTAGTATACTGGGTTGTGTTCAGACATTAATTTTCTTAAAGTCTGCATCTTGAACGAAAATAGTGCAAATTTTGTTGTCATTTAAACCATTTGAACATATATGTATCATCATGAGTATTTGTTGTGTGTTCATTGTATCTGAGTCATCAACCTCGCAATATTTGCTCACCGTCATTGTATCCTGTTTTTTTATTTGTGATTTTGACAAAAAAGAAAAATAAGAATAGATATGACAAAACTATTGAAGTAGATATAAAATCTGTTGTTTCTTTCTTACCTATTTTTCACATGAAATTAAATTATTTTCAGTTATCATTATTATTACTATTATCATTATCATAATGATAATGGTAGTAGTAACGATATGTAATAATAATGATAACGCTGATAATGATTATAACAACATTGATAATAAAACAGTTATCATTATCAAAATTATTATTACTTTTATGATTATCACTATTATTGCCACTATTATTATTATTATTATTATTATTGCTATCATTATTATGATTATCATTATTTCTATTATTACTACTACTACTACTATTAACATTATCACATCATTATTATTATTACTAGTATCATTTTCATCATTATTATTATTGCTATCATTATTACTATAGTTATTATTATCATTATACTTCTCTTACTACTATTAACATTATCATTATTATCAATACTACCATTATTATCATTATTATCATCATTATATTAATGCTATTATTAGTAGTATTAGTATATTTATTAGTATCATTATTATTACCATCATTTTTATTGTTATTATTATTGTCATAATTATCATTATTATCAATATAATTTTTGTCATTATTATTATTATTACCATTATTATTATTATCATTACTATTATTCATATTATAATTATTGATATTATTATCATCTTTATTATCATTATCACGATAGTAATACTTATTATTATGGTTATTATCATTATTGCTGGTATTACTATTATTATTATTTTCATCATCATTATTATTGCTCTTATTATTTCTTTTGTAATTATTGTTATTATCATTATCATTGTTTTAATTATCATTATTGTTATCATTACTACTATTGTCATCATCATTATCATTCTTCTTATTATTATCATTATCATTATTGTTATCATCATTTTCGTTATCATTATCATCATTGTTATTATTATGATAGAAAATTGTAATACTGATAATGATGATAATAATAATCATGATAATAACAATGATGCTGATAATAACAATGATAATAATAATAATGATAATGATAATGATGATGATAATGATTATCATTACCATTATCATTACCATTATCACCAATATTGTTATCGTTGCCATTATTATCATTATAATCATTATTATGATTACTCGTATCATCATTATTAACGCTATCATTACTATTATGACTATTATTGTTATTATTGTCATTATCATCGTTATTATTAAAATTATCATTATCATTATTACTATTAGTTATATCATAATAGATAATAGATATGAATGTATGAGGCAAATAACATTCAAAACCGGTTGTGGTTTCGTCTCATATTTATTATTTTGATTATACAACCTTTTTACCTTGAGGCGTCTTAGCCTAGTGTCAAGAAATTAGTTCATAAGAAAATGTTACACACAATACCTATTTGCTTATTTGTCTATCGCTGTATTGAAGTGCTCGATCGCCAAGCGTGTGTGTTTGTGTATGTGTATACATACGTGTCTGTTTGTATGTGTGTGCTTGTGTG